CATTTTCCCAAAAGTTTGGGGGGGGGGGGTGGATTAGAGTAGCAATTCATTTGCTTTTCTTTTTTTTTTTTGGTTGGTTTGTTTTGGGTTACCGCGCCCTAGCTGTTTCAAGCCAACTAGTGCTCTGTTATGGGCTTACTAGTGGTCGGCTGGTGGGCCAAAGAGCTGTAGTCATTCAGCACCTTGCATCATAAATTTACTAGTGTGCTGCTGGCATCTGTGGGTTGTTCAGTCAAGCTCTTAGCAGATCCCACTTCTATATGACTCTGTGACAGGCCCTTGGGGCCGGGGGGGGGGGGGGGGGGGGGGTGTGGGGCACATTTTAATGTTATTAGATAAGTTGTTTCTATAGTTGAAAACAACGACAGTTTTTCAGACTGTAGGTCTCGGGTAATATCCGAGTAGAAATTAAAAAAAAGGGGGGGGGAGCCACACACAAAACAGCCAGGGAGGGGAACGCCAGGAGACAGAGCCCTGCATTCCACCTGCACCCCAATAGCTCATGGCTAGATTAAGCCCCAAGGCAGGAAGGCTCATTTCTTTCATTGTTTGCATTAAGTAACCAGAGGGTCCTTGTAAATGCTGCTTACGCCTTTTGGGCTGAGCTGAGAAATGTTCCCAAGAATAAGGACCACCCTCTGCTCTGCCAATGCACATGCACACACCCCCCCCCCCCCACAAAAAAAAAAAAAGCGTGCTACTCTACCTGCACCATTGCCTGTGTTCAGGAGGGTGCAATCAATAAAAATTACTCTAGCAGCGGCACCACCACTGCCTGAACCATAGCACCCAGCACTGCTCCTGTCCATACAGCACCTCCCCCCTGCCCTGTTTGGCACTGATCCCATTGCAGCAGAAGCTGGCACACTTGGTTCAGGCCCTGTGGCCAGCCAGCTTCTTCCCTTCTCTCCCATTTCAGGAGGCTGCCTTTTGGCTATTACCACCCCTTTTTAAGACCCCCTTTTTTAAGGCAAGGGCCCTCTGGTTCACACTACAGGATCATGAATGTCTGTAAGCAGAAGAGGCATGGGGGCTCTCTCCTGCTCCCTCTCTCTCACATATCCCTCCCACCCCCACCCCAGTTTCACACTCAAACTACATCATGTAAGGCTCCACCCCCCCTTCAACACTTCTGAACTAGAAAGGGGCCTCGCTGGCTTGTAGTAATGCTATATAAACCCCTTATGCCAGGAGGGGGTATAGACCAAAACTGCTTGGCAGTGCACTGCAGCAAATGCTTGAGGTGAGTTAAGGGCCTCGGTTCCTTCCGACACCATAACCTGTTCAACCCTGCAAACTGGCACAGCTTTCAGGAGCGAGACCTCACCAGCAGAGCAGCTATAGCCTGTAGCACAACTTCCCTTTTTAAGGAAGATCGAACAATACTGCTACAGCCAGGCACGGCAAAGCAGGCTGCCTTGCAGAGGCTGACACAGTTTGGCTCATCTGCAGTACAAGGCACCAGGGCCTTGCATAGGAAGCCCTAGAACTGCACTCCTCAAGTTTAAAATGAGAGCCTAACATTGCCCCTCTTCCACTCAACAGCAAGCAGAAGAACAAGCTCAGCTTTAGATGAGCCAATAGGTTATTTGGTTTGTGTTCCCCAGCCCCAAGGCTGAAGGGGGTGGCAGGATTCAGCTTCACGTGCACCAAGAACAGACTCTGGGCTGCCGCAGGTTAGAGCACTAGAGCAAGGGCGCACAGCACCACAGGACAAGCAAAGCCAGGCAAAGACTCTCCTTTGAAGAATGAGTTTAACTTAGATAAAACACAAGGGCCATAGCCCCTCCACTGCAAAACACAGTGCAACAGAGTAATGTGGTTTGCCTTTCAGTTACTTGCCTCTCATCTACTCCCCTTCGAAAGGACAGAACTTACCCATTTCTTTCTTTAACTACTTTTTTTGCTAAGTAAACTGCCATTCATGTTTAAAAACAGATACTGACCTCTATTCCTTTTCAAAATAACTTTTACAAACACCTCCAAGCATGCCCTTTTGTTCAAGTGTTTTATTAAAAATTTACACAAATGAACACACTCCAGTAATCCTGGTATCCAGGTGTCCTAGGTTAAAAAAATATACAAAATCCCAGGCCCTCATGGGAAGGGCAGCAGCAGGCTCAAGCAGGACCTCACTTCCTTTGAACAGTAGTGAAAGCTGGCATCTGAATGGGCTGGATTGAGTGGACCGGCTGAAAAACAGGCTTCTTCCGCATGTCAGAGAGTGTTTTCACAGAAGGGAGAAGCTGGTTTCTCTTGATGATCTGCAATGCCAGCTGAGTGTTACCTACAAGACAACTTTCAGTTAAAAACAATACCTTTGTACATAACCGGTTCACAAATCACTGTCCTCAGAACACAGCTGAAGAGCTGGGGATTCAATTCCCTGCCAGTGCGGGGCCTGGCAATCTCCCTGGTCAGTGAAATGCTGGTATAGATGTTAAAAACACATTAAACAAAAAGTTAACTTGAAACAGCAGTATTGATTGATTCTACCTAGTTTTAGCTGTACTTCACAAGAGACATCAAGCTTTAACCTCAGAGCTAGAGGACACCACAGCACCTTCTGAACTCCTGAAGGGCACCTTTTCTCACTCCCATGCCCGCAGTGAGACTCTGGATCCACCAGTTCCTCACAACTTGACAGTACCAGCAGTATTGCAAGTTTCAAGCGTGAACACAAAACTGTTCTTAAAAGGAGAAAACCAACTTTGAACTGCATGGATCATCAAACAAGTAACAACATAATTGGAAAAAAACCAGCTCTCTTTTAAAAATTAAACCTATGAAATTGTAGGAGAAAAAGTGGCAAGTTCTGAAAAGAAAATCTCTTATCAAAGACTGCCCTTTCACAAAAACTTTGCTATCTGTGGAACAAAAAATAATGTCTTTAGCCCCTTTCAGTTTTACTTAGAGGGAAGGAAATCCCACTTCGTACTCTTTTCTGCTCCATACTTTTTGTTTAGAGGAACAGATTTTTCCAAAATTCCACTTAAAAACATCCGTGTAAGAGAATCTTTTTTTTTTTTTTAAATCTCAATTCTGAATCCAACTGCTCAAGTCCTCCCCTTGCTTGTAATGCAAGATAACTAAAGGGGAACAAGTACACTGAGCATTTCATAGCACCTGGATATTAAGGGACAGGCCCATGGCATCATCAGTGGCGCAGCTGTACCAGTCTCCTCACACACAGTTCAAGTGCAAAGTTTCCAGTTACCCATCATGTAGGTTTTTCATGAAAACAGGGTGACCCTTCAAGAAGGATTATGGAACAGGTAGTTACCACTGTTACGGGCTTGGCTTCTGTACTCGTCCCATAGCCTTTGACATGGCTCGTGAAGCTTGGATTTTAGCCACTGCCCTTTAATGAGAAGCCATTCAAGCCCCCTTTTTATTGTACAAACCTCATCAAGGAGGCAAAAACCCTTACTACTCAATCTTCAGTTTCCCACAACTCAGTAACTGATGGGGTTTTACTGGACCTTTCCAATGCCACTGATTTCTGGACAAAGATAAAAGTATGGAAGATTTTTGGCCCAGAAGATGAATGTTTAGAAAGTCAGGAGTGTACAAGGACTGCGATGTACCGTGTTTTACAGGCATAACAGTAGGAACTGCCAGGTGGCTACTACATTTGAGGCCAACTGCCTTGTACTAACATGCTCACTGTTAGGAAGCCATAAGAAACCAAACATTTGCAAATAACTGCTCTTCCAACGATTCCATGGAAGCAGGAGGCATGTACATGGAGCCACAGCAATGTAAAATGGTGACAAGGCCTAAAGGGTGTGATTCAAAATACCGGCACAGTGTAAAGACCATGAATGATAACACTACCCTCTTCCCCATGAATCCCAAATCTAAGTCTACAATACATTTCAAAACTTAAGTTCTAACATTTCCCTATGAATGTTAGTTGCAAACTTAAAAGAAAACAATGTATAATACCAAAAATGCCTGAATGTTGAACTGAATGTTGAACTGAATTCAACATTGCAGTTCACATACATTACAGTTCACATACATTACAGTTTAATAATGTTGAGGAAAAAACAATCAAGTTCTTTACCATTCTGTAATTCAAGATACACAGCCAGTAGAATAGCCTCTGGAGGGATCTCTTTGGGATGGATCAGTGAAGCAGCCTATTGTAAAAGAGAAGGATGAGGAGAACAAGCACTGAAGACACAAACATCCTGCTTAAAGAAAGAGCCCCTTGACAAGACTGTTAGCATCATCTTAGGTAGGAAGAAAAAAAAAAAAAGGCAAAAATTCATAAACTAAGATTCTTCCAAACTAATACACTCCCATCAGATTCATGCATGCAAGGAGAGATTGAAAGATTATCTGCCTTGTAAGATAGTTAGCAGCACCATCTGCTCTATACTTATGCCATTGCGAGTCAGACCCTCTTCACATTTTAGTCTTAGTGGAAGTGGGAAGGAGAAAGAAAAAAGGAGAGTGCTACCAGCACTCTGAAAGGAAAATGTTACTCCCCTCCTCCTCATCCTTTGCATTCCCTCTTGTTAGGTCACTGACCATCATCATCATATTTGTGGTTAAGTATCACAGTGTTTCTGCTGGGAAATGCCCAGCCATGAACAGAAGCAAAAGACAAGATAAAGCAGGGAGGGTGAGATTGTGTTAGAACTCATTTCTCTCCCCCACCTCTGAAACTTGCTGTTTTCAACTACATTTCAAATGAGTACATTTGCTATTGCCAGTACAAGGATGACTCATGAACTCAGCAAGATTTAATCCTGCAAGTACAACTTTTCCGTAAGTGCCCAGTCCAGCAAGCAGGGGCCAAAAAAAAGTTAAGCAAACCACCCCACATTTGTCTCTATTAATATATACACATAAATTGTGTTTGAGACTGACCCAGCTTCTGAGAAAGAGAGAACACATCTACACAAATGGCAAAAAGGTAACAGGACTGATTCCATATTAAAAACAGGTCCAAGATGATGATTTGCTACAGGGATACTTGGTGCTTGCACCTACATCTTTCCACAAGAAGCTGATGGCAGAGCTGTTCACTTTTTAATACCCAAAGAAGCCATTTAGTTACCAAGCCAAATAACTATCAACTGATCTGGCCATCCACTTAAACCTGTTAGGGAAAAGTGATCACCACATTCTTTCACATCTGGCAGTTGAAGATTAACACCCATAGACACAGATCTACTCTACTTAAGGAGAGAGAATGAGCAGGGCCTGACAGACCTGATCTTAGCAGATCTTACTGGGGACACAATTTGACCATTGACAACAGGATCTTTTTCATCCCTCCAAAATCTCAACTCTTCTTAGGGGATAGTGGGAATTATGGGAGTATAAGAATTAGGAAAACTGCAATCCAAAAGCCAATCACTTTCCTCAATTCTAAAAAACATCCTCCAGGCACGTAAGTTCTACAAACTTAGGCAATCACCGCTTTCTGTCTCAAAATAATTTCCATGCAAAGGTTAATATCTGCAAGCATTCAGGACCTGACCTGCGGTACCACCCTGGCTTAAGAAATCCGAACCAAACAGTCTTTCTCAGGTGGTTTTCAGAACGAACAACTGGTAAGTAAACAAATTTAAAACTACCCTTACAGACAGTTTTAGACAAATACTGATGAGTATAAGCCTAAAGTCCCACTCATAACTGACCTATAACTTTATAATAATTCCTTTGGCTTTTATTTTGTAGCTCATCATAGCCCAACTTTACCTGCCAGGTGAGTCACGAACCTCCTTCTAGCAATGGATGTGCGCTCTCCACTGTGCTCCCTCATACAATACAGCTGTGTCCACTGTGCATGCGCAACAGAATTAATGTGAGCATGCAGAACAGAACTGACACTTCCCAAATGCACTGGATTTATTGTAGACGCAGAGACCAACTATGCTGCACATGCACTGATGGCCTTACATTCGTCTGGGCTTTACAGCCCAAGCACAAACACCTGCCCAACCCTAAAAAGCCTTGGGAGGAAAAAAAGTAAGAAGGCTGCCTTAAGCTGTTGAGAAGAGCTTCAGAGAACGTGAGCCTGTTCAGCTATACTACTATAAAGTAATCTGGAAGACCACTGTTGCAATTTACAGCTTAATAATGTATTTGAGTAGTCTTCTTGACAGACAAGAATGACTGCAAAAAGAGATGGACACGTTGAAAGAGATCAGTCCCAGCCACGGGAAGAACTGAATGCACAGAGCAAGTTAAAATGGTGAGTTTCAAAAGCAGTAAGTACCTCAAAATTCTTGAAAAAAAGGTAGGTAAGAACTCTACCTCCAGCAGAATTCTAGTTTGTTCTCACAGCCCTGAAGTTAATAACTTAGACTAGCTGATTAAAGAAAAGTACACTCAAGGCCCTCAAGAACTTCCTTCCCTGAAATATGATGATTACTATTGGATCTTTAAAAAAAGGATAGAAAAAGTGAAATGGCTTCTTAGTCACATTCCACTGTTTTGATATGATCTAGTGGGGGGAAAACCCTCCCATTGTCATATTCAACTCTTCACACAACTAAGAAGTTTGAAACACCCTGAAGTTATTTAATATAGACTGGTCATAAAGACAGAAGAGAGCTGCCATCACAGCCAAATCAGCAAATAAAACTGACCTATGAAATGAACAGTACTGGCAGTGACGTGAAGGGCACTTTGAAGGAAGTGCATTTGTCCGTTAAGCTGTCATGAGGTTTGTTTTACGTACCTGATGGAGACACTTTCGGGCTTTGTCATATTCACTCCTCAGGCAGTAAGCACTTCCAAGGTTAAACAACATCATCGTTCGTGCAGATGTGACTGAACTGGGATAACACTGGGGGGTCTGCTTGCCAGCTACAATTAAAAAAAATTCACACTTTCATTCTGAACTGGCCAAGGTCAGTTCCAGTACGCTGCTGAATATGATGGCTGGTACTTACAAGATTCCATCGCTTCATTTTCGCCTTTGTCAGACCCTAAAAATAAACAAACAAAAAACCCACAAAAACCATTATGTTCTGTGAGCTTCTTTTTGTAAAGCTTATTACAAAAATTATAGTTTCATGACAGCAGATACAAATTTGATTCTCCCTTCAGGGTCTGACATTGAAGGAGGAGAATCTATCAGTTTGTTCTGAAGTCTACATTACTCAAGGCTTCCTATCCTTAACGTTTTTGCTCCTCTAAGAACTTTTTAGATCTGCAGATGGGTATTGAAGCTTAAACTGCAGACGCATCACTCGGATCACAGCTGCTGTAGAACTAATTATCCAGATGAGCTCTGAAATACTTTTCTGTTACAGAATACACACTCCCAACTGGAAGTGTTGCAAAAAGATTAAGATACAGATTAACTATGTTCTACCCATTCCTATCTCTCAATAACACAGTAAGTGGACTTGACTCATACTCCAAAGCCTGGTTTAGAGACTAAAGAGCTGGATGAGATAAGGTAGGAAGCCCAGGCTTAACTGTAATTGCATATTTAACAAAAGAAGCTTTCAAAAATGATGCTTAAACAAGCCAGAACACTACAATATACAGGCCTATTTATATTAAAGCATTAGCCACTTCAAAGGAATGACGAACATGCAAAAGACAAACCCAAAACAAAGAACTGAAGAAAGCCTGGAAAAAAACTAAGCTTTTACAACAAGATGTCTTAAACATCATTATATTTGTGTATAGAAAGTTACAGCAGGAAGGCAGCTGAAAGCACAACCAGTTGTAATCAAGTGTGGCTTCACTAACCTTGATCCTGCTCGTTTGAAGAGATCCCCAGGGAAACATCAGTGACGTTCTCGGGGTTCAAGTGAGTGATGGCATCAGATATTCTGTCTAGAGAGATGAGAGCTTCTGCTGCATACAAATGCCCAAGAAACCTGCAAAACCAAAGGATCAGCTACAGATGTCAGTGCAACGACCCCCTGATTCACTGCTATGTAAGAGACATTGAATGCAATTTTTAATTCTAAATTTAAATTCAAATTTAAATCACAGAAACTGATACTTGGGACATCAGCATGGAAGTTAGCTTACTTACAGAAGTATTGCCATAATACCTAATTCTGCCATTTGCTGATTTTAGGCCCAAACTTTGCAAAACTTCTGCACCTGAATAATGACAAGTAATTCATGCACAGGAACCACCATTCCAGAAAGACAGCACCTTGGGATGGCTTTATATCAGAGAAGTAAAAAGTAATTCCTACGGGAACACCCCTGGGATATTGATACATGTATAAATTGAGATGTTAAGTGACATTACATTCAATAACTAAATTAATGCTGTAAGATAAGATAGCTGCATTATAAATTTCTAAGGACAGCAGCTACACAGGCTTGTCCATAGGGCACAAATGCCTTTCCAGTTGCAGCTTTTCCAAAAGAATCAGACAAGTTTGACATTTCTAGTTCAGCTAATCAGCAACTTTCCTTTCCAACTTAGGAACAGGAGGATTCCCGGTTGATTGAGGACACAGTTTGCAAATATTTAATCTGAAACAAAAGTTGAGTAGAAAAAGTTCACGCTCGTTCTATGCAGCTGTATGTAGTACATTTCAAATGAACTGTATAGCTAGTTGTGATGAATTACTAAACATCAGGCAAAATGAGTTACCTATGCCACATACAGAGAGGCAAAAGGATTTTTATATCAATCAACCAACCATCCAAAACAACTTTTCCCTTTAGATCTGTTACAGCGTGCATGACTTCCTAGATACAATTTTTTTCACTTAAAAAAAAAAACAACAGGAATCCCTGATCTGCAGTATTCCTGTATTCCTGATCTGCACAAAAGTTAGTTTTCTGGGACTAAGATACGTAGCTGTCTTTGCCTTTACAAATAATGTTACGTAGCACTAATATTGCCTTCACAAAATTGTGTGTTACCTTCCAACCTCCTCTAAAATCTTGCTTACAGAATGACCGTGCAAAAAGATGATCTCCTGCAGCAGTCTCAAGCAAGGAAGTCAAATAAATTGATTGACATGGATCATTTTAGAGTATATGCTGCCAGCATAGAGCAATAAGTATGTGTTACAGCTTGCTCTCTGTGCGGTACCTGCTTTGAAATATATCATTACTGTCATAAAAACCTCTCAGTTATTTCATCCTGTGTACGACCTAAGAATTGAATGCACAAACAAGGTGAAAAGGATGGGGCTAAAGTTCCCTTTTTGGAATTCTCAGAGATATCTGGGAACTGGTGAGCAGAAGCAGAACAAGTTTTGAACGTCTTCCCAAAAATACAGAACGTCAAACGAGAACTGAAAAAGTGAAACCTGAAGAACAGAACCTGTATCAGCAGCAGCAGCAACGGGCGCACCCAAGCTCTAGGGCCCTACTGCCTGAACAAGCCCAACCCTCTCAGGAGGCAGTTTTCACGAGCAAGTTTCCAGCAGCACGCTGGCTTATGCGGTTGTCCACACCCAGCTGTGGATTCCTGCCCCCTGTGCCGGACCAGCTCAAGCACGTGCAGCCCCACAGCGAATCAGGTCCTGCCACTGAATGGGAACCACGGCTGAAGATTAACAAACAGCAACAAAAGCTGTGGTAGAATCCAAATTACATGGAATTCATATACAAACAAGAGGACTCACGTTCCTGTGGGTCAATAAACATTTTGGCAGAGCTTCAACAAGAACAGAAGCAGGCCAAGCAATTCAACTCTTTGCATCAGATATAGAATTGGCAAGCAGTTACAGACACTGGAAACTTCAACTCAGCTCTCTCCAGCAGAAAACAGGGCTGAGAAAGAAGAAATGGTTATGTCAGACTTACTTAAGGGACCCTGACAACTTTGGCTGCTGAAGAAGCTTATCCGCATGATTCAATGCCATAAGGTTATCACCCAAAGCCAGAGCAACGTAAGCACTACAGGCAAGTATTGAGCACCTGGAAGGGGGAAAAAAAAAAAAAAAAAACACACACACACACAAGGGGGGGGGGGGGAAAAAAAGTCAATATGTTAAATGGAGAAGTCTACGATCCCAAATGCAACTGTGCAATTTCTTCTTAAACAAGTGTCCAGCAAAGCCAGATAAAGCCATCCTAATGGTATTTACCTATAGAGTTAAAAAAAAGGATAGAAGCAAGAGCAAACTGCACACAGTCCTCTGCTACACTATTGATATGACTAAAACCATTTTAAATATTTTATTTCATTTTCATGCAGCAACATTTCAGACTTACAGATTTATGCAGAAGATAATGTGAGCAGCATTTTTATTATCTATGGAGTTAATATGAAGTTAGGTTGTTAAATAAATGGAAGGAATATCCACATACAAATGTAAAGTGCCATACAGCATCACTACATTTACATTTAGTTCTCAGTGGAAGTTATTTTACATTCAAGAAAAGCAGCATTTGGAATTACTGAACCATTATGCCTCTCAGAAAAAAGCACCTTTGAACTATGCTCCATGAGCCAGCAACAGCAAACATGTAAGAGATTTAGTCAGGTTTAAACACATTTCACTCTAAAAGTGGTCACTGAACGGAATATAGGTTTTCGCGAAAACAAAATGCAACAATTTTCACTCATCAGCAACCATCCAAAAACTCACTCACTCAATTCCACTTTGGTTTGGGGAAAGTGAAAGACATTTAAGAGTTAACGTAATAAATCATAAACTTTCAGTAATGCCTTTATATCAAACTACAAAAGAAAAGAGCTAGTCTTTATCTGTGACCTAAATCACATTCTCCGAATTAGGAGATACATACAACATGCTATACAGGTATAAACCAAGGACCACCAGTGTGTGCTCACTAAGACTTTGAAATTCTGATCATTAAAAAAGTGATAAACAGGTAGACCTCACCACAAATGACCTATTTTTCCCCCCCATGAACGGTCTCCCTGTCCCATCCCTTTTTTTTTTGCCTTTGATTTTTGTTTGTAGTTCTCTGCCATCCCCTTCTGATGCAAGTAAGGGTAACAGACTGTGGATTCTGGTAACACACAATCCTAAAGATCTCCTTGAACTACAGATACATTGCAACAATCGATTACATTGTAACATATTTCACACTGATAATTTTACAATGTTTGTACACAAGGAGACAATAAAGCCTACAGAACTGTAGTTACAATTTGAAGTTTCCAGATTTGTGGTAAATTGAGAGCTGTACTCCTCCGCCAGGAGTCCGACTGATAGGTGGCATTTTGTTGCTGTCAGACTTCTGTATGCTTCCAAAAGCACAAAGTCTTTGACCGCTCTTGTAATGAAATCTTAACTACTCACATCTTCCATCTTCAAACAATAATCTCACCTCAGGATGTCATCATTAGGCCAAGCTTTACAGCTTGTAATAATTTCCCCTCCATATCCCTTCCCTCCCCCTTAACAAAGCGCTTGGGGATATTTTCCACTTCGTAAGACATCATTCACGCAGGCTGCCTTGTCCTCAGGGCATAAACCTCTGCTTGCCTTGCCCCGGGACTCCTCGCTGCGCGCACGGACTCTGCTCTGCTCCGGGGAGGACAAGGGGATCCTCTTAGCGAGGTCTCACGTTGGGAGACTTGCAAGGAGAGCGTTCAGCTCCCCTGCCAGTAGGTGGGCTATTACAGCACCAACCTTCTGGCAACTGTCAAGCCCACTTTTGGTCCAGCAGTAAGTCATGTAATTCATGGCAGGACCTGGGGTGCCTTTATTCCTGTTTCCCAGGAGGCATGCACTTTAATTATGCACAAGCAGGATAAGAAACTTCTCCAGTGTTTCTCCCTACCCCCCACTTCCTCTTTACCATGCCCAGATGTCACATCAAATCTGAACACATACAAAAGCTTTCAAGAAAGAGAGAAAAGCTTCCCCCCAGCTCAAGTCCTGAACCTAAAATATTTCTGAAAGATTGCTACTGTGGAAAGGGGGAGGGGGGGAGGAAAAAAAAAAAAAATCAGTATAACGGACTACTTCCAACTGGCCTCTTTTCTTCTCTGCCTCAAGGAAGCACAACTTTTAAACAAGCAGAGATGCTAAGTTTCATCAGTTAAATACCTTTATACACAAGTCTACGCCTGTAAAGGTAGTTGCTACTGCCCTTTAAGTCAGTATTTGTCTTCTACTCATTACAACTTTTTAAAAGCTTGTTTTTATTTTTGAGAGTGCAAATTCAAACAAAAGACGCACTCGAATAATACAAGAAATAGCCCAGCGAAACTGAAACCCATTACCTCCCCTCAAAGGGCTCATCACCAGTTAAGATCCCAAAAGATTCTCTGATTGTAGTCATCTAACGAAGAAGAAAACATTCACGTTTTCTTACTCGCAGTATTATTCTTATCACACACTTGGATTCTTTGTTGAACCAGCTAAACCAAACGCTCAGGAGATCTGACAGTTAATCGGAGCAGAAGAATTGCACCACAAGGGAAAAGACAAACTAGTTTTTCACTCCAGTCAGGATTCTGACAAAACTCCACAGGTTGCCTTTAAGCACAGGAGACTTCCAGCATTACTGAGCCTCTGCGCTCCCGAAATAAAACTGCCTTTGCACTAGGAAAAAGAAAAATGTTTTTTTAAGCTGCCAGATTATGTCAAACCACCTCTCGTATAAGTCTAGGCAATAAGATTTGTCAGCCCACACTGACTGCAAGTTTACAGAAACTGAACTAGACGTTTGAATTAGCTTAATCCACAGGAAAAAGGCTAACCAAGGCAAACCCAGTTGCTTTACATTTATTACAGAAGATACAAAAAAAGGCACTTCTAAACCATTTGGAGACTGTCACATCTGAAATAAATTTAGAATACCTAATTAAGCACTACAGCTGATATAAACTGCCTACTTTTGATACAGACATGCAAACCAAAAGCATTCAGAGGCAAAAGAACGTAGACGGAGCTTATATGAAGGGGAAATTCAGCATCACTGAATGGGAGATGGGAGGAGAACCAGGCAGCGGCTGGCAGCGAGGACGAAGAGGGTGAAGTAGTGACGGATGATAACCGTGACAAGCTTCTAGAACTGTGCCAGGGCCAAACAGACCGCTGCAGCCTTTAAACGGGTCAGTGAGGCAATGCCGGGCAGGTGGGGACACAAGATTAGACAAAACGGTGATGGTGGTTATTATAACATTACTCGTGGGTTTGGCAGCAACGTCACCGCTCCTGAAATAGCGCATTCAACACGAGGGCACACACACACACACTAAAAACAGCAACAACAAAAACCACAACGATGGGCTGGTGATGGTCAAGGGAAGCGTCAACAAGCAAGAAAATAAGAAAGATGGTAAAAGTGGATCACGCGCCTTACAACAAGGGCTCATAATTCACATCTATTGCCAATAAAGAGGCTAATCAAACAGTTCCTTTACCTCTGCCTGCTTCAAAGGGGAAAATTAACATGTGCATATGAAGGTACTCAACCTGGGCAGAAAGAGGCCGTACCAGGGTCTGCTGCCGTCTGTCTCACCTCTTGCAATGAACTTTCCACATGCAGCACTGTGGTCTACAAGAACTCCTTCGCTCTTGACGTATCCCAACAGAAATGGGTTGTTCAAGCATATTAAAACATATTAAGGGCTTTTTGAAAGCAAAACGGTTGAAGTGGTTTCTCAGAGAAGAACAGTTTATAAGCAACTCAAGGGAAAAAAAAAAATCAGTATTTCTACTTCATATGCAAAAATTTAAGCAACAACATTTCTTGTCACCTTTAAAATCTTTCAGCTAAAGTACTTCATATTATGAGAATAGTCTGTTCAAATAATGCATGTGCAAGTACCAAACAAATGGCCTACAAATGTGGACAATTACCAAGTAGCATAGACAAGAGAGATGACATATAAAACTTGTCTAGATGGTATTTTTACTTTGCCCCTAAATGGTTCTTAAAAATATAATCGGTCATTTTAAACTCTCATTACTCTATGCAACTGTACAAAAACATCCAAAAAAGAGCATTTAAAATTCCCCATATCAGTACTGGAAACAATGGCAATTCTTCAGTCGAGTAATCATTACCAGGATAAAAATCTGAAGGTGTGATATTTATCCTTCAGAATAATCCTTGTCAATATTTTTAATTTTGCCTGCCCGGACAAGAGTTTGTCTCATTTAGCTCCTCAACGAGCAAGACTGCAGGAAATACACTGACATTTGAGCCTCCCAAACATAGTTTTCCATAACTATCTGCAGAAACCTAGAAATAGTTTTAGTGAAATCATTCTTAGGGATGCCTAGTCCTGTGGATTTAACCACTGGTCAAAGCAAGTATCACAAGAAGTAAATCAACGCTTTTCCTTTCCTTTTATGACGTTCTTTACCAGAAGCAGTGTAATTCTTGCTAAACTGACAAGTTTTTCCTGACACATTGTCAGGTTTCATCAGTAGATCACAATAGCCAATTGTGAAAGAAAAGATTACATACTTTAAAAAACCACAGTGTGACACCACGTAATTTTGACATGTGGCAACCACATTTTCAACAATCGGAGAAGGAAAAAAAACCAACTGTTTTTAACTCAATGCCTTCCATTTCAAGTACCATACTTTCGCAGCACTTCAGAAAAAATAATCGAGGTCCCAGAAAAGTCCCCTCACAGATTCCTGCTAAAGTGCCTTTAAACGAACACAAGCAGATCTCACACACACATCGGCACAAAGTAAAGGTTACGCTGGTCATTATAAAACACAGGTTACCCAGAGTTAGGCTGGAATAGAGTGTTTACCCAAGAGTTTAAGTGGGAAATTGCTGTATGCTTTGGCCATAATGGAAACTTAAAACAGATTTCTTTTGTAACAGGTGCAAGCTTTACAGTAAGAGAGATTTTCAACAGGCTGGCAGCCACGTGAAACAATTAGCACTGTCAGTAAGTGATCATCTTGCTGCGGAAGGTAAAGAGGTTCCAGATAACATGATGCTCATTTGGACACATGGGAGTTGTTCTGTTTGGAGAGCACTTAGACCGCTGAACAAGTAGTTTAAGGATCTTTGCGAACAGGAAAAATACTAGAGTCACATTTTTATCATCGTTCTTCCTTGGCAGGAAATCAAGTACCAGGAAAGAGGCAATTTTTGCTTCTATTCTATGAAAACTACAAACTTGTTTCAGGTAGAAAGGCTACCTGCGGAAAGGAATACCTCTGTTTTGCCATCATTGTCCCATGTCACCTCTTCTAGAAGGAATTTCACATTACGTGTGGAATAAGAGTTTAAAAACAATGAAAAGAAACAAATCAAGTAACAGAACAGATGCTCACATTACTGTGATGCCAAGAAACTTGAGGCTCAGAGGCACAATCGAGCTGCAGCACAAGGTACTTTATACCCTGCTCAGCAGTGGAAGCATCTATGTACTACCAGCCTGCTGCAAAAGCAAAACCAGAAAAACCAGCTTAGTCCCACTTTTCCTAATTAGCCCTGTCATCTGCTGTCACCCTCACATTTGTCTTGGACCTATTTTCAGTCGTCTATGCAGTACTGCAGCAAATCAAGAATAATTTAACAACTGTGAAGACTTCACAGTAACTTTGGGTTTCCGAGGCGAGAAGGCATTTTTTCCAAGATCAGAAATAATACATCAGTAACAAAATAACAAAACTTTGACAAATGAATTTGAACATATTAGGTGAAAAAACCCAAACTGTAATATACTCACTGCAAACTTTCTTGCTCTAAGTATCCCTCTCAAAATGCAAAATCAAAGGAGACTGAGAACGAGATATGACAAACCAAGCATGTCTAGGGTATTTTGCCAGCTTTCAGTACTTCATAATCACCCATGGAAGAACTATATTGAGAACCAGAACATCTTCAAGGCACATCTAAAAACTGCCATCACCTCCTATTCATTAACTAAGCTGATACTGTAGTATTCCTAGAGCATTTATTATCTTAATATCCAAGTAACGTATGTAGAATTGATAAAGATAAATTAATAAAACTTTTAGTCTTGAACATGCTGGGGAGAAGGAAAAAAGGAAAAAACAGAGATGGGGAGGGAAAAGGAAATATTAAAAATTGTGCCCCTTGGCCAGATGAGCATTAAGTGGGGAAAAAAAGGGGGAAAAACAAAACAAAACAAAATCCCCCCCCCCCCCACCTGCAGCCATCTCCCCTCCCCCCTACATATGCTAGCACCATATTTAAATCCTAGTCTAGACAAGGCTTTAGAAATCCTATCTTAACAAACACAGTAAAGGGGAAAAAATAGTCACCAATGAGATTATTTTAATAGGTTTTAGTTGTCTTAACCTTTCAGTGGTATGCATATTTCTTTTTTTTTTTTTTTTAAACATTATGGCAGTTTTAAGTAATGCAAAAAAAATTGGCTTTTGATTCAGTTTCTTTTTGAGCACCAATCTGACGTGAAAGTAGCATAGCTGCTTTTACCCCTTCTGATTTTTGCTCCATCCAGGAAGCATGCGATGGGGCAAACATCCAAATTAACTTTACCAGGGCTTTAAATGGAAAAAGGTACCATACTGTAATTTCTGTCCGTTGCACCAATTACAAAACCTATCATCAGATTTTTAGCTTTGTCATTTATGGTACCTGATTTTTTGTTTTTGGCAGGCATGTAAGAGTGGGACCAAACAGTCTGCTCTACCATCTGCATTAAAATTCCGGCTGGTATCTTCTGATTCAAAGCCTTGAGAAAGGGAAGCACATACATGTAAAAAATAACTTATCCTTAGATTAACAACCAATGCAACTTTGAAAGTCCCGTACTTTAAGAAAAGCAGTAACAGAAAGCTAACAATGACTCCAGAATATCGTACCACAGCTTGAAAGGTTCATTTACTTGTGAATATATTGTTTACTTGCCTTAAGTTTTCTAATTCCTGTTTCTTCAAAGGTGAAGAAGGTGGAGCTGCAATGAATTTATCCCCTTCATGACTTTTATTGCTAGAATAAAAACAGTATGTTAGTTACAAGGAATGACCATGAAGACTTACACTGAGAGTTCTTTTGTTAATAACCACCAATATTAACTCACTCCATTTAAAAGGGCCACAACAACTCTGCTGAGAAACAGACAACTGAAGCTATGTAAAAACTGAGGCTAATGCTCTTCTCCTAACCTTGCTATTTGAGAGGCAAGGGGGGGAATGCTTGTTTGTCAGTCAAATCCTTCCCAGCAAACAATCTTCTACTTCCCACAGCCTCAAGCTACTTCTGAAGTTTCATGTAGGACAAGTACTTATAACTCAAGAGATACAGAACTCACTGTTCTTGCAGACTACAGCCTCTCTTCCTGTAAGAAAACCAGAAAACTAGCCACTCTCCCTAGATTCGTAACAAATTACACAAGTATTCTAGGAAGATACAGATGTATCTAACCCACAACATGCTATAGCTTCCTTTAGACCTCTAGCCGCTTTTTTTTTTTCTCCACAAACACTTTGCTTTTTAATAGACATCCCAACCTCCCCCAAAAGAAACCTAAATTGTAACCTTCTGTTTTACCCATCTGAACAAGCACTAAACTTTTCCAAAGCACAGTTTCATTTCTGTATTGCAAACAGGTAAGGCAATTCCAATTTATATCTTAGCAGGAGAACCCAAGAAACTTGTACTTGACACTTTGTAGTATATACATCTCATGGCTTTGTTGAAAATCAGATCAAAAAATAGCCCTAAGCTACTCGCTTTATTAACTGTTTTCTTGTGAATAATAGAGGAATCTGCTTCCAAGTCAGCCTGTCCAATTAGTGGGATTTGCTCCAAGACCCCTTTGCTCAATTAGTGTGATTTTCTTCAAACGTCTTATATCTTTTACTGCTCTACCCCCAATACAGGGTCCCTTGTTAGAAGGGACACATCCTTTTAGGACCTTTCAGAATGTAACACACAAGATCAAGAACCGTCTGCCTAGTTGTTTTGTATTTTTAAGTTAGCAATGACCACTGGGAGATACGAGGGAGGTTTGTTTTTTTTTTTTTGTTGCTTTAGTTTAAAAAACAACATCTGCTTGTGAAACCAGAAGGCCATAACATACCTTCCCGTACAGTACCTACTTTCCTTCCCTCACTCCTACACACACACACACCTCCCCAACAACAAAACCACCACACAATGGTTAATAAAAGTCAGAAGGTTGGGGCTGAGTAAGGGCCACTGTTTTTTCTTCACTGCCTCTCACTGCAAGTAAAGAAAAAAAGCTTAGAATTGAAGTTTCATTTAAAGCAGAGGTGCTCCACCTCGACCGGCTCCATGCAGCTTGCGAGGGGAATTCAGCCAGTTCACAACGACCACCCTCAGTACGCAAAAAACCCACAGGCTCAATCACTGCAGACAAGGAAACCATTTATTCCTGATCCGTCATTCCTGGTAATGGGGGTAGCAGAGATACCACATAGTGTGTTGGTCACTTGACAGGGAAGAAGTGTCATTGGGGGAAAAAGGGTTATGGAGAACAGCCTTCCCAAATTGCTGTAGCAGCAGCAGCCGCCACCTCTTCCCAGCGGCAGTGTAGCCCAGGGCAACCTCACGGTGTACAGGGATGCACCTTGTGCCAGTGCAACGTAGCACATGCGCAGTAAATCCTGTCATGTGACAAATGGTTCTCCTATCTTCTTAAAAATCTACCTGTACTTCGGTCTGACATAAAACGTTGCATTTTTTCCCCATTATTCTTCTCCAGTACTTCAAGTTCTAGCATGCCCACTTTTTCCAGATTTGTTACAACTATTTTCTTCTCAAAACAGTCATTCCTGAAAGTGCACACAATAACCAAAGCTCCTCTCAAAGAAGGTCAAAACAGTCTCTAAGCCCAAGTCCAATGAAAAAAAACTAAACACCTTCCTGCTATTTAATATTTGACAAATTGTCTTTTTTTCCCCTCCCCCTTTGGTGGGGAGGAGGAAGAGAAGACTTTTTGCCTTAGACTCCTTTTGGTAAAATGCAGTTTATTAAACAACAACTCTATACTACTGTCCTGCATATCTATTAAACCTAGCTTTCCATTTTCACTCTAAAGCAAACACAGCAAACAGCACACTAGGGCTGAACGCCACGTCTGATCATGGGGAAATATTTACAACTGAGTTGCTAGACACTTGTATATTGAATTGACTAGATGGAACAAAGAAAAAAAAACAATCACTGTAACCAGTGAAACTTCACTGAGAATTAGAGAAATACCAACATGCACTGCAGGGGCGTGTGGGAAAACAAAACATTCACAGCACAGAAAAATACAGCCAGTGAAAAAAGGAATTTCACTGTCTAGTTTATTAAAGTGGTTTCATGGTGGAAACCAATTCAGTATTTTTTTTCCCCTTAAATTAGCATATCAGCAATCAAAATAACAATCGGTTTAACAGTTTCCTTGGATAACCACACTGCGGAGAGAACTTTCGCATCCGTTACTTTTTCTGCTGGCCAAACATGATAGGTAGCAGACACGGACGCTCAGCCTAGAGTTAAAGAAAAAGAAGTGTTTATATAAAATTCAAACTATACTATTCTGTTTACCTGCACGCTTCACTGCTTTCACTGTTTTCTGCATTTCCCCCTAGCTGGTTACTAGTTTTTGACCCATTTTCCTGCTTTGGCTCCTGCTGATCTTCTGGCAGTAACAACAAAGCATTTCTTAGACAGATCGCTGCAAATTCCATACTGGCTACAGGGATTGCTGAGGACTGACCATCACTGAAAAGGGACACAGAAGTTAATCAGTGAGTAACAATCCTACTAAATTAAGACAGTAAAAGCAGAACTCTAGAAAGATCTGAACGCAGAAGGAACTTTGTCCTAAAATAACTGAAAACTATGTTTTAATAAAAAAAACATGCTTTTAAAATACTTAATTTATGAAGCAAGGTGTATATATATCCCGCTATGCTAACACAGAAAGTACACCAGGATGCCCAAGTGGAACGGGTAGATTCCACTACATGAGAATTACATGAAGTTATCTTGTTTTTCTTGACTTCACTTCTTGATGTCTTATGGCAGAGCAATTGGATTCTTCCTCCACTTTTCTACAATGGATTACTGAAAATTTATTTTTAAGTGATAAAAAGAGGGTTATATTCCTCTGAAATACAACTTTAAGAGAAATTAATTTTAAGTTTTAATATCTCTCTAAGTTTCAGTGAATACACAATTAAGCCCTCTGCTGGCCATCATAAAGGAGGCACCCAAATGATGTTTAAGTAAGACTCACCAAGCACTAACATCGCTCTGCACTACAAGAATAAAAGCCCTAAATGAACACAGTTTTTCCATGATAGTTTAGAAGATTCCTGATACACACATACATACCCCTAACAAAGCTATGATAATGAATCAAAGAGCCCACGGAAAACATACTTACTTATAAACGACATTCTGTATTGACTGGGATGCTAGGACTATCTTACGGTGGTAGCCTTGACCTACTATAGATTGCACAATTCCCTTTTTGCTGGGAAGGCCTTTAGTTTCTTGTTCTGATGTCTTAAAAAAAAAAAAGCAAAAGAGGATTAAAATATTAAAGTGGCTGAATGAGAGATTGACAAAGTAACTGCAAAGTTGGAAGAACACTTCGAACCCAGCTAAAACTAAGGATTAATAGTTTATATGGGTACTGTTTTAGAACCTAAGTACCACGAAGGATCAGGCACCTTCTTTTGTCTTTGCATTGCAGAGGGATTTTACTGCACACAGCGTAACCATGGTTAAGTCATAGATTATTTCTGAGAGCTTGTCTGATAGCCTACTGACCTAGTTACTCCTGTTTTGAAAGAGAAAGAAGAGTGAACCAAGGCATATTAAAGAACTGCTAGGACATCTAAAGAGAAACTAGATGATCAGCCAAATAACATTCCGAACGGGCACCATAACTCATCATCTTCCCTTCATGCTTACACAGAATTCAAATCATTCCATGCAGAGCAAATTGCAACATATTCAAACTTACATTAATTCATTTAAAAGACATTTGGTACATAGATATTTTGGAAGCCAAATGAACTTAAAGACCCCTAATTAGTCCTGCAAATTATCTCCACACCATATTCACTCTGATTTTGGCCATGAGCTATCTTAATAACATCGTTGGTAAGTAAAGTTAGTGGAGAAGAATCACAGTTGTAAGGAAAAACAGCGGGTATATATTTTGATAATTTAAATAGGTATCACTTTCCGGAAAGTTTATCACAATCTATTGTGAAGAAGAATACTGGCATGATAGTGGCATTTACTGACAAACTAAAACACATACGTACATTAAGTTTGGATATAAAGCATGTATTTTGAAAAAAAAATTTTAAGCCTGCAGAAAGGGGACTGCATCATCCATCTGTATTTTGCATGCTAAAATACTAAAGCGGATGAAAACTTACTTCAGTGAAATTACTGTTCTGTATGAGGTTCAGCACATAAAAATGAATCCATATTTAGATACTCAGGAATATTATTGCAAATTGAGTTGCAAGGTCAAATTAAACACCTTACTGATTTTAGGGCCTCACTTGTCATGTTGTAAATCCATTTTTTAACTCCAAAGACACTGTTCCTTCTCTTTAATATTACAGCATCCAAAATTTTATTTTTTTCTCTTAAGATTACAGAGTTAGGAAACACCAAGCTGCTTCTACGACCCAAATTCAAGCTCCCTGGTATATCACAATCATCAATATTATGACTCTAGCATAACGAAAGCTAGGTTACAGGAGCCTAACATCTACTGCTTTAGCTGGTCTGCAGTAAATGAAGAAATGCTCCGTGAGGGATGGTCCTTCCCTTCTCCAGACTGTGAGGCACTGTCCCTGTAAACAGGATCTCAGCTTTTCTACCACAAATCATATACTAATCAAACCTCTCATACCAAACATCACAGTAGGGATGATCAGTTGTGTCCTCTTTATTACATGTACTTTGTAATCAGTAGGATGTACACCTAATATTGTAAAACGAGTAGGAAGAAAGCTGTTCCTCATGCATTCGCTGTGGTCTACGCTTTGGAAACAAAGTACCTAGATCTATGAGGCAGCAGTTAACACTGCACAAAGTCAGTGCATTTTTTTTTTAAATCCAAAACTCATTAATCTTCAACGCTCCATGTGTAAAACGGGGGCAACAACAATCCTCATCTACAGAATTGTTGTGAATAGCTTTCTTAATGTTTCTGAAGCACACAGATCCCCCAAAATAATGAGCATCACTGAAGAGCCCAAGGGAGAATTATGAATTTCATGTTTACAAGGATTTGTGTAGTGTGCAGCAAATAAAGGCACGGGAGCCACCCGCAGAGGGAAAACAGTGACTTCAGAGAAAAATGGAATGAATATAGCTGTTTGTTCTATTAATTCCACCCATCCTGTGCACTAAGTGAAATGGGCATACTGTGGAAATAACCGAAGGGAGCATGTTCATTATAGATTACATCATTATACCCACTCACAAGGGGCACGAATTATAGTTTCACAAGGAATCAAGTATGACATCTCCTAATTTCACCAACTGACTTGACTATTTTTGTGCAGTTTTCTGTCCAAAAGAAAGAGCAATCCCTTTCCCCATCCCTCTGAATTTTAACACATGGGCTTATCCTAAACTGACACTGATCAATGTGCTGAAAGCAACATACCCTAAAGGGTATGCAACACATCTAACGTCCGCAGGTTTCCACAAACTTTGCCAAAGGAGGAGGAACAAACCTCAGCAACTGTGGATTCACTTCCCCAGTGGTTGCAACCAGAGAGAGAATATTGGTCTCGGCCTCCTCAGCCTCTGCCCCTTTTAGGCTAGCCACACTACAGCCCTATCCCTATCTCCAGCAGCAACTGAGAGAAGAAATAATGAAAGCTTAAATGAGAGACTTGGCTGCATGAAAAGAAGGAAGAACGCATGAGAAGATCTCGGTGAGAATCAGAATGCATCTTGTTACTTACATCTAGTCCTACAAAATGAAGCTATATTTGAATTTGGATGGTGTATTTATTGTAGACAAAATTAAACAAAAAGTTTATATTACTTGCTTTTAAACAAGACTGACTACCAGTCTGATCCCATAGCCATAAAAACATTAAAAAGTTAACCTTAATGAGTGCTAAAACAGAAACAATGTATTTTCAGTCATACCTTATATCCTAGTATCTGGCCTTAAACTAGGCATAATGGATCTCTACTGGATAGGCATGTGCTTTCTCCCATTACTCTAACTAAATTTCAAGGTAGGACCTCATCATTTCAGAAGCTGTAATGCAATTCCTGGAGACTAAACATAAAAATCCAAGGTATTTCAGTCAAACATTTTCCAAGAAAGAAGAAAAATCCTTCCTTATCAGACAGGCAGCAACAAAAGCTATTACAGTTGTTTCTGTGCATCAAACCTGCAAGAGCAGCCATGAAAATTCTCCTTCCTTGGGTACTAGTCAAATTGGTCACTGACTCCAATCTCATCTCACTATTTCTACAATCCAATAACAGAAATGCTTGGAAGGGCAGAATTTAGTACAGAGAAGAGAATAGATCTCATACAAGTTCAATTCATTTGTTCACACCAAAAAGACACAACTTATATCCAATATACACAAGCCAGGATTTGGCTATATATGCAAAATGAGTGTGGAAAGCTAAGACATCATTAAATACCCACAAATAACAGGTCACACTATTAATGTTAATATCTACATTTTAAGCAGAAAGCATTCACTCCAGAGAAAGAAACATGTTGCTTCCTGTTAAAAGGTGAAGTCTCTTTAGAGAATAAGACAAGTTTCTCTCCAAATAGTATCTTCATTTTTATTTCTAAAAATTATTTCAAGACAAAAGTTATATCGTCAGATGATTTGGAGAAATCTAACATGCTTAAAACTAATTCAGAACTACTCATTCAAATTATGAGTTGGAATAGCCTAAAGGGAGTGATGGTAAATTGCCAAAGAAAAATCACGTTAAACCAGTCTCTCCAGCAAAAAACCTGTAACTTAGAGGAAGAGCTACAACAGCCACTTACGTGCTTTTGTTTTATCTCATGCTAATCTTTAGAATAGCCCCCTCAAATTCTTCTGATCTTAGAAAAGTCGATTAAACACTGGGCCTCAAGTCACTGTTTCTATGGAACAAAGAGACATTGTTTTTCTTCCACCTCTGTTGGAGCTTCAGATTAAACACACGCACACACACACACGTAAAGACTTAATCTAGACTTACATAGAGGTGTTGCAGCATCAGGCCTATAAAATACAGAGATCAACTCAATGTATTATTCCTTCTCTTTTGTGATCACAAGCATTTCAAAACCACCATGGTACCAACACAAGGAATTTGTAAACCTACTTACCCCTTTATTGGCAGCAATGCAGCATTCTGCTATTCTCAGCCAAAGACGAGGGTTTGAGTGATAAACCTGAACTGCCTCTATCAAGCATTCAAAGGCAGCTAAGGGCCTCCCAATATGTAAAAGCTGTATTCCACAATTGTAGAGCAACTCATACCGTTTGTTAGTCAGTAGTGTACACATAGGTCTTCCTGAAAATTTTTTACCTGTGGAAAAGGATTAGATAGTTTTGGATATGTAGCTCGGGAGGGCTCAAAACAACCCCCTGTTAGGGGTGAAATACACTCAAAAAACTACAAAATCCCTTCTTTCTTTATAGGAATTCAGCAGCCTCCCTCTGTAAATACATTCCTTCAGCATCAAAGCTGATCCTCAAGACAAATTCATATTATTAAGAAAAGTTAAAGTAAATTAAATACTAACTACTTGTGTACCTTGTCACTCAAGCTATATGTTATAAACACTATTCATAGCACGCACATCTTTGCTATTCTTATAAATTCTGTAAGAAATCTGTTTTAATGTTAACAAGTACAAAACACCTTCCGTCTTTGCACTGGTATCCAAGATTGCGCTACAAGGGCAGGGCGGGTGGGGAAACAGTAAAAACAAAGTAGTGTGATAGCAATTAGATTTTAAAGAAAATTAAAAATTGAACAAATTATCACTTCATAATGAAATCCCTTACTTGGGAGGGAAAGAACTGAAGTATTACTAGTCAAAGCAAGAAAGTTTTTTCTAATATTTATTTCTTGTCTTTGGCTTAATCTAAGGCAATAGTAGATGGATAAAGTCAAACAGTAGATGGATAACTAAACAGTGGGTGAACTTTTCTCATACACGCCTGGGAATTGTTCAGTAAGAAAGTTTCACATAACCAATTAGTATTTGGAAGATGATGTAACAGAACTGCATATCAAATCTTCCACATCCAAGTTTAAAAAAAAAGAATATAAAATCTTCCCCATCAAAATTTAAAAAAAAAAAAAAAAAAGTGTCCCGCAAGCTTCATGTCCTGGTGATTCCATCTACTGTAAGCAGGAGTGCAAGTAATGCCTTTAACGGTGTGTTAATAGGCCACAGAAAGTTCCTTTTGGTCCAGTCTCCCTGACTGACAGTTAAGTGTTATAAACAAGACAGAAATAATTGCCCTAGCCCCATAGCTTGCCAAAGAAAGCAAAGAGGGACACATTTTATTTTTATCCATTTCTCACAGCAGCAACTCTACGCTGAAATCAAGTTTTATTCAGTCAGAGTCATCATCCTCTTTATCCTGTCCTCTGCAAACAAACGGAACAGCATTTTTTCTAGTAATTACTGAAAGCTTGTATCACCTGTTTTCTGGATTTGCCCACCCTTAAAGTCTTACCTGGATCTGAACTACCTGTTCCTAGTTGTGCACACGCATTATCATTTTCTTGCAAGGCTTTTTTGAAGTAAAAAATTCCTAAGTTGTGCTTTCCCATAGCAAAGTGGATGCAACCAAGATTGTTCCAAAACATGCACCTTAAGCATTCACCTGAGAGAACAGCAAAAGATCATTTTCATAAACCGAATCAGAAAATGCCACTGCACCCACAAAACACTCCTTCCCTTCTCTCATGAGTTGGTATATTAAGGTATCTAATTAAACCTGCTCTTCAGTGAGATGTTCAAGGATTATGAAGTTACTGTCCTACAAATATTTTAATAATCTACATTTCTGTATCTCATTCTATTTCTCTTGAATAGTTCATTTGAAACGACTTAACAGGTAAGCAGTCATTATCTGTCTAAGTCTTATAAAATAAAGAAATATGTAAATACAAGTATACGAGTAGGAAAGAATGAGCTTCTCGCGACTGAAAATGCGCTCTCCTCCTTAAACATATCATATCCAGGCAACTGGGCAGTTTCTTCTAAATAATACAAGATAAAAATTAAACTTTTGACCTAGGTACTGGTGGTAATTGAAGTTCCTCAGGGCTACCTGAGAATAAACTAACCCAGCGTTACTTTAACTGCGACACAGGTGACGAAGTGAACGTTCCATTGTAGCTCATGCAAAAAAGTTACATGAAAATATAACTTTCCACAGTATGTTAAGCTATAAAAAGAACTTTTTACAGCATAAAACATGATAAGAGAGATAAGTTACAGAACATTCCAAAAGAAGTTTCAAAATATGGCATAATTTGCATTAGGATAAATATTTTGAATTAGTGTTTTCTAAATCAAAAAGACTAATCTGTAAATACAGAAGTTTCTGAAAATATTTACTCAGTCTTGTCATATTCCCAGGGCAAATTCTATGAGTGCCATCATCTAGTTTCAGTCTATCTAGCAGTGCCTATTAGATAAAAAGTTCTCACGGCACAAGAAACTTAAAGAGTACTATTGCTAAAGCAGAAAGCATTGAACCAGCTGAAGTAAAGAAATTCAGTAGCTTCTTAAGTATTTTTTAGAAAGTTTAACTCTCTACTGACAAAAGAAATAGCTTTCTCTCTAGATTTTTCAGCATTTTTCTACTGATGTTTTTAACAGTCAACTACAATCTCAAATGTATTTAAATAAGAGCATACAAAAAAATATATAAACCCACATACAACACTTTGAGCATAAAAATAATTGAAGTGGTGTATAGCAGAAGTCAATCCTCAACACTTCATGAAATATTTGAGTTTCCTCACAATCATTACAATCGCTATAATATCCTCTCTGGGTACAACTTGGAATTTCATTCGTAGAGCTAGGAGGCTGCCTTTTTTTTTTAAAAACGTGTCTTGATTAACTAACCCAAGTAATAAGACCTGCAAATATTACATTTACACCTTCATAAAGCCATTTTCCAAGAGAGCCTATGTTGTGAAAAAAACATTCAAAAAATCCCACCTCACAATCATGTAGCTGAAGAAGAATGACAAGAATGAAGAAAACATATGCAGGATATAAAACCATGACACTTTGGGCGTATTCCTTTCGGTAATCATTCATATGCTTTAACGTATTAATGAGTAGTCCCATTTGTACCACACTTTCACATGCTTGCAGGATGAAAGTTTTCTCTTATTTTACCTGTTTTCATGAAGCCTGGATGTTCAGCAATATTTGCACTGTTCAAAAGTTTGACCGCTTTCCGATAATTCCCTCTCAAATATTCAAAATTGCTCTTTAGAAAGAGAGAAGGAGCTGACTGTGAGGGAGAAAACAAAAGTTCTCTTATTTTTATGATTTCTGCTGTTAGCATTAAATCACTGCATAGTCAGCTTGGCCCCTGCTGCCACTCCAAAAATACATGGGGCTTAGGCCCTAACTGTTTCATGAAGTAGCATTTCTTTGTTGAGCACATGATTAACACTCATCTCCCTCAAGCTTCAAATCTATACATTTTTTTTATTGCTCTAAAACTAAACATTTTGCTAGAGAACTCTGTCATAGCAATGCCTGCGTGCAAAGGATCTCCTTTTTGTTTAATAGGATCTTTCTCCAACCTGTCTTCTAGTACACTCCTCCCCATGCTTCCCTCCCTGCGGAGTTCAACAACTTCCTCCTGGGCTGTGATCTTCCTGGTCTGCCCACAGAGACCTCGCGATCCAGAAGGATTTTTGTCAAACTAGTAGCTGTTGAAACTGGCAACAAAAGGGAAGCGCTCTCCTCCCATTCCCTGCTGCTCAGTTAAATGCAGAATATATCTGGGATGCTGGACGTAATGACATAATTCTCTGAGTTGAGAACTCCTATATAAAAAAAAAAAAGGAATTGCTTTCTAGCAAGAGATAAGCTTCCAAAAGATTCGAACAAAAAAAGGAGGGGGGGGAAAAAAACCACACATGGAGTACCCCAAAATAAGTCTTCCATCGAGTGGAGTAAGATTTTTAATTCCCAATGCACAACATTTCTAGTACACTAAGTTTGGTTACTTGGTTCAAGTTGCTTACTTTTAAGCTATAAAGCAAACTTAACCTTCTTAGTATAGTATTCAATGATATAAAAATAACAATGAAAGTGCAATTTTCTAGAATTTCATTTGTTTTTTGCAATTTCTCATATTATTTACACTCACAGAAGTCAGATTACAAACTCAATTGAAAACATAAAGCACTCGAGACATCCATCCTCAAGAAGACTTTTCTTTACAGATGAAGCTAGCAAATGTAGTTTTAAGATAAGACCTAGATTACAAAAACAGAATACCTACATTCCCAGCTGTATTCATAACAGACTTGATCTCCCTTTTGCATGCTTTTAGTGACTTCATCTGGATATAGGCTCTCACCTTATACTGTTAAAAAAAAAAAAGTTTGTTAAATAAACTTCTCAGCTCTGCAAGATGAACCATAGCTAGATTTATTACAGAACATTATACATAACTTTTTAAAAAGTTAAAAAAGCTGTTTAAAACCCATTCTAAAGAATAAATTCTATTCATATTCATAGAATATATTTTGTTTAATGGCAAACAACTCTATACTCACACTCCAAAATACTGGCATCTAAAATTACAAATTAGTTAAAATAATCTAACTTCCTCTCCCATATATTTGCCTTCTAAACTGATAATACCAATAGGTGAAAGATGATAGAGAAGGGTGTTTGTTTACATTTTTTCCACAGAACAGTGAAATAGACCTCCAACAGTTTAAATCAGCTGAGGCTTTAACAGGTAAAACAGTGGAACTAACCACAATTTAACAAAATTACAGTAGGTTGCAACAACTTATATTGAGCTTTTTCATGTTAAGCCAGTTTCTCCTGTACACAGATCTTACAAAAGAGATAGATAAATCCATTTCTTGTTTTACAAAATGAAATTCGAGGACAGTATCACAATCCATGCTGAACTACATTTGAAGCAGGTTGTACCTGGTTTTAAGACAGACTGAACTAATGTTCTTGTATAAATCACATGCAGACACGTACCTGATGTATCTTAGACTTGGCAACTTCTATTAAAGCTCCACTTTCAGCCTTCTGGTTAGAGGAATCTTTATTTGTATTATTAGCTGACTGAGGTTTAAAAAAATAATAATAAAAAAGGAAGAGTTAATCACCTTTACACTTTTTTTGTCATGGATTCTTTTTTAGTCTCTTTTTAGACTATGAGGAAGAAAAATAAGTATCCAGTAGTCCAAAAGAATATGTACCAACCACATATTTTAACTTGAGATTAACAATCAAAATCCAGGATCAACCATATCAGTCTATGAAGAATGAAGTTCCACATTAACTCTAGTGTTACGCTATATCCCTCCAGCATTGATATATTTTAAGAGTTCTCTTACCTGGGAGGACACTATGCACATTCTTTTCTCCCTCACTATGATTTTCTTCAGTAGAATTACCTACCCTACATTTTATCTTAAATGTTTTATCTTAAAGATGACATTTCATCAACAGGGAACAATGAAAGACTCCCCTTTTCATTTATAAACTATTACTCATTCTATTAATATTTCAAGAGATGCATACAAAAGATTTCAAAAGTATGCATCAATCGGGCGCTATGTAAAACAGATCCTTGACTTCTCATGCCATGGCATGGTTGCAGTTCCTCTGACATTGAGTTTCCCTCCAAACTTGAGGTTTCACATGGTCATAATCCAAGACAAACAAGAAAGACTAGGCATATTTGACCATGAAGACAAACTGTCTTCCTAATGCAGCGCTCAGAATTAAGACACACTTAGCTCCCTGACAGTAAGAGACAGGGTGGAACAGAAGGAATACACATCTGCCATATATAACTAATTCAGTTACTAACATGTAAGTTGCTGTCTAAAACTACAGATGTTGCAATACAGATTTACAGTTCAGAGGTATCTAAAAAGAGTAATTTTCAATCAAGTTAAACCATACTGCTGCAAAGACTTCAATACATTCATAAGGTTTTAAGCTTACCTCATTTTTTCCATTCTTGCTGTTATTGTTGCCCTGTGAAATCATTTTTTCTAAAACAGCAAGGAGATGCAAGGCTTTCTCAGCTTGGTAAGTTAGCAGGTACAAGTCTATAAGCAAGAAGCACACAGCCTGGGCAAACTTCTCTTCTATATAAAGCAAAGAAGGGAAAAATGATTTTGCAGTATTAATATTAATCCTTCCAAACCTGACCAAAGGAGGAAAAAAAAAAGTATCTATGCAACATTATGAGAAAAACATTAGCAAAAAAAAATGCAGACATCTACATAATTCAGACAACTACTTATACACAAAAAAGCAATTAATTCAAATGCCATTAGTATAATAGCGTAGACTAAAGACAAAGACAGTTTAACATCTATTTCAACTCTAAAATTTTATTTTCAATAGTACTGAAAATTCAGTGTCTAAAAAGACAGATGGAGCTACGTGCCTAGACAGAATCCCATGGAAGTTAGGAGGATTTCCATACAAACACATCTCTGCATGGCTGCCTTGGCAGACTAAGTTCCAAACTGGCATACCAAAATTTGGGAGGAATTAAGGAAGAAACACAGTAAGATTAATTGGATTTACACTGTGAGCCCACACACACACACAGATACAAGCACGCTTCAGTAAACAGCCCTGTCACTTCTAACATTCAAAGATTATGAAGCTGTTTAACGCGAATATGACAACCACCACACAGGGTGCCACAGCTCATAAAAGCTGGAAACTTCATATTTAGAGATGACTACATACAGTTACATGCAACCTAATGCAGGCATTTAAAAACGCGAGCTCACTGACAAATTTGCATCCACCAACGTAGTTATATGATCACTTAAAATATGAAAATGTACATCATTTGCTTTGTAAATACTTTTTTCATAACACATTAGGTTGTCAAATATCCGTCGTATTTGTCTTCTAAGCATCTCTGAAGTACCCCCACCCCAATTCAATTGTCCCCGATATAGATAAAGGAAATGAAGAATATACAAGCCTAACCACTGCTTTAGAATTGTATTAGGCAGATTTAAAACTCACTTTTGTGAAAATAAGACAAATAATCTTTTTTCAGTTTTTATATGAAGACAACTTCTGTCTACATACCAAAAGGTTCTATAAATTGATACAGCTTCTCTCCAACTGATATAGCTTCAGCATACTGACGCAGATGATACAAAATAACAGCTTGATTGTAGTAAAGCATACTGTTTTCAACGTCATCTAAACCATCCATTTCTTCAACAGCAGAGTGAACCTTTAAAAAAAACCCACTCATTTGTTTCATTAAACTTTCAATATTACAATTTTAAAAAGTGTCAAATATTTTTCAGAAATAATCTAAAGGTAGAAATTGGCCTAAAAGTAGGTCAATAGAATTTTGTTCACTAGTTACAAGCTAATAAACTTTCGCGTTGTTCAATATTAACCCAGCAAAGGATTTAAACGATGTCACAAACTATTCCAAGTTAAGAAACTTTCTACTGAAAGAAAGTCAGTTTTTCCTACAGCTATAGTTCCTGAAAGAGCTAAGCTTTACATTCATTTCAATAATAACTAAAAATATAGAAGTAACGTCCTAAATGGCTAAACGGACTCAGAGGTTTAAAAGTAATGTTACCTTCCTGTTCATTTATTATAACAGGAGAGGAAGGCATGGAATTTTTCCCCCTATTTCACCAGGAAATCTAATCACCATTAATAGTACTTGAAATCAAGTAGCATACCAATGCTTGCATTACCTGATTCTTCAGCTGGTTAAGAGTTTGTTTCAAATTGTCTGTTGTAGTCTGATTACTTTTACAGAACTCTGCAACAGCAGTGTTCAAGGTTATTTTGTAGTCATCTTTGTTTATGTCTTGAAGGGTATTTAGGTGCTGTAAACAAGCATCGTAATTCCCAGCCTGGAAATTGCACACACATCAGAAACACGCGTTAGAAGATACAAAGTCTAAGTTAACAGGTTAATCAATTTTAATGAAAGTATCCTCTATAAGTTCACAGAACAAAGTAGTACTTCCATTATCAACAGGAAGTGAAGTTAACTAAAACTAAATGGCTACATGTGTATTAGTAATGAAGTATAAGAAGAAAGTCTAAAAGCTGTGATCAGAACCAAAATTCAGGAAAAATTCTGCAGAAGACAGACAAATGGAGTAGTCTATTATAAACAGATGATTCTATGAACAGTGTTCTGCTTTATCTTCATTGCATAGAATCTTGAAACTCAAAATAGTATGTCCTTAGTTTTCATAATCCTTCCCCATCACATGTACATGGGGCAACTGGAACTGCTTATGGAACTCCCAAGACCATCATTTTGCATTCATTCTTCACTCCTCTTGCATAGTTGTGAGTTACAATTTAGTCTGCAGAAGTCAACTTAAGACATGCTGGCAAAAGAGGGTCTCATTTTCCCAGTAAAGGTTTAAGTAACATCTTTACAAGCTGTTTTAGTTGTTGAATGAAGCATTCAAGCATTTGGTGATCTAGGCATGTCAAAAGAGAAACCAAGACCTAGGCATGATGCTTCTCAGTGGTAGAGTTTAATCAAGAAACCACTCCCTCTGACCCCAGGAAAAAGGAGGACTATTTTTAAGGACTTCCAAACAGCTCACCTTCTTCTGCTTTCAGTTTTTGTCTTTTCTGCGTTTAGGCAGGAAGAGTTTAGCAGCAAACTTTTTCAACTGGATCAAGTCGAAATAAGTGATTCTTTGCTCTCTACTGTTCAACACTTACACAGGAATAATCACCTTCACCTCTTCCATATCAGGGTTACTTCCCGTCTGGCCAGTCAGATATGCAGATTCATTTCTACCTCTGTCACCACCAGTTCACAGACGATCAAAAACTATTCTTTTAAGTACCGCTACCATTCTTCACTGACTCTCACTCCTCTTATTTTAGATGCTAGCGCACTGAGCTTCTCCCGGGCTCCTGCCTAAATTCCTCTGCTAAGGCAAGGATCACAACAGAGATTACAACTCTGTGGTCCTTTGCTGGAACCGCAACCTTATGCTTTCCATAGACAGTTGCCATTCTGCAGCTTCTCTCAACAGAGCCAGCCCAGTCCCTTAGCTCTACTAAGGAAGAGTGGTCATACAAGTTACAGAGAGATGTAGCAGGATGTTCACACACAGTATTTCCACAGCTCTGTGGAAGCATCATCACAATGGGTTGCCTATTCATCACACACACAAACATGGGGATTTACAGCTCAACTGCTGACATCCTCTCTAAGTGACACAGTTCACCTCCCAACAGCTTTCTTCATGTGTTGGCACTCAGCGCTCCCCTTTAACAAAAGTAGCCTTCAGGTTACAGCCACAGGCCTCTAATCAGGGTTAGACTGAAAACTAAACAATCCTTTCCTCTACTCCATTAAACAGGATTTAGAATATAACATACACATATTTTCTAGCAATTCTACAACACATAAATTGAAAGTGCAATGTGATAAAGCAGCATGAGAAGAAAGACCAAAGAAACAGTCCACAAGGCTATTCACAGCAACTCAATACTTTGCAAAACTGACAGCCTAAACACCAGATTAATTCTCCTCACACCTGTTACCTTGTCAGAACATTATAAACTTACAGTTCTTAATGCAAGAGAAAGATCATGAGATAAGCAAGGTACATCAGACCAATGTTAGAACTAAAGACGGAGTTATCAGCAGGCCAAAAGTCTTTCAGTCATGAATAACTGTGCACAAGCAAGAAAGCAGGCACCCCTTTCCTGTACCTTTAGTTCTCAAATGGAACGTCAGCAAGCAAAGAGATATTGAAGGAGAACAACCGGACCAGAAAGCACTCAAGAAGGCATCAGTGAACACTATCAGCTGTAGTCAGGTTAAGGCACAACTACATGCACTTCATGCAGCAAGAGTGCAGGAAGAATAAAGTAATAATGACTGAAACACAAATGAAGAAGTATCAAAGGATAATATTTAAATTCTTTCCCATAGTCTATTTAACACATCCAAAACAAGCTTATGCAAGTCATCGCGAAGACAGAAATACAACAATTAAGAGGCAAAGCAGTCATACTTCCAGCCACATGGTACATTAAATAAAATCATTAAGAAAAAAGAAAAGACATTAAGAAAAAAGAAGTAAACAACTGAAAGACCTACTGCCTGAATTTTACCACATAAGAAGTCTTCCAAGAAACATAAAGCTGGTAGTTAACACCACCTGTAGGTATTATGTGTTGAAAAATACGTCTTAAAGTAACAGAACAGTCTACAAGATTTGTCGGTTATCTTGCTATGTTTTTTTCCATAAAGTGAAAAATGGCTTGGTCGATGTTTTCCTTTTAATACACATAGCTCCTTTAAGCCCTTTAAAATCACAGTTTTAGCTTTACATGATTAACTCTTCAAAGAGTTTGTGCGTTCCAATACTGCCACAGAACAGCAGCCTGCTTCTTTTATATATGTGCTGGCTTTACCATACAATTAGTACTACTTTTGACCTAATATCCTGTTAACACATTTGCAACTACGCTAAGAAAACAGGAAAAATAATGTGCTATATAACTGCTAAGCTAGCTTATATAAGTAGAAGTCTCACAATTTGTCTTTTTCTTACCAGAAAGGCTTGTAATGCACTGCTTGACAATTCCTTTTCCTGATCAGTAATCCCAGAAGAAGTACCTGCTCCTTCATGTTTCTCAGTACCTTGATCTGTAAAACAAAGAGGTTTACAAGAAAGTTTGCAATTGTGACGAAAGCTAGTCAGCTTAAAAGTTTCTTCCATCTCTCAAGATCCTCCTGGCAGTACAATGAATAATTTTCCATGCCACTGCAACACTGCCTCCCTGCTACACTAACACCTCTCAAATTATCCTATGCTCCTTGTGAATTCCTCTCCATAAAATGTAAGTGTAATAATCCTACATATCCAAGGATCTTGGATAATACTTTAAAAATGTGCTTGCAATCAATAACCAAAGTCCTGAAAGTTAACTGACAACATTTTAGATTTCTCCTAAGTTGCAACTATATACTAAGGAAGAGCTTTTGTTTTCACAAAAGTTAGCAGTGAAAGCTTCATAACAAGGCTTCATAAAACAAATACAAGTGCCACACTTGTTAGACCAAAAGTTCACGCATCCCGTATGCTACTTCCTAAATAGCGAGTAAGAGATGATTCAGGGAACAACACAAAAAGCAGAGTAAATATTGCAACTTCTGCCCAGGTATCCTGCTTTGGAAGAGTAGCTCTCCCGAAATGAGAGGCCGCAACTGAACCATCATTTTTTAAAAATCTTTATATCCCACCAAATGCTATCTAGTGATTATGTTGCCAGACACAATGAACAAGTGCTGCCTATTCACTTTTGCGACCTCAGTCTTGATCTTACAGATCTTTCTTTGAATTATCTCTCTTCCCAGGTAAGCAGCCACGGTTTACTTAGTGTCTTCTTCACATATGCCTTTTTCAGCAACTTCTCCAGTTCTACTACATCCGTTTCCAGATTGCAACAACAAGAAGATCGTGTAACATTTATGATGGTGACCCCTCTGAGGATTTTTATAGCAACACAACAAAGTTTTAATTGTCTTCAATGTCTTTTACATATAATTCCCACCATGTTTTTACCTTTGGGTAACAGTTGAGACAATTTTTTAAAAAGCAGGCTCACTAAACCCTTTTGACATGTAGTCAAGAATGCAGTGAAATGACACTAAGAACTACAGTATAGAGGTTCCATATTAAAGATGTAAAAAAAACAAACAGACAAAAAAAACACACAAGAAAATCCACACCTCTGCCTTGTACCAAACACAAATTAATGGGTCAAAAAAACCATTCAGCTCTTATGAGGAAAATAACACCAGCTTATTTCTAGAAGCTTTAGCTCCAGAAGCATTAACTCGTGTGCTGGAACATACATAAGTCATTGATATGTTTTTGAAACAAAGACTTTATAAACTAGCAGTACTTTCCAGTTTGGAGACAACCGTTTCTCGAATTTCACAATTGCAGTTTTGGGCTAACCTATGTTTTGCTATTTCAATAGGCTAGGTGGACTCTGCATATTTAAAGTCTTCTTTCTCTTCCTAGAGCTCAAGGATCTAATGCAAACTCTACTAATTTCGCTTTCACTTCAATCAAACCAAAAAACTCATCTGCAAGCCCCACTGCAAAGTCCACTCCCATCATCACCAATATATCTTGATCACCTGCTACTGATCAACTACCAAGCCATGAAAAGCTATGAATACATAAAGATAGACAACAGCTAGGGGTAGCCAACCTCAGAAGATTCATCAGTTAATATCCGTACTAGGAATAAAGCATACTTATTTATTTATAGTTTGTATTTCCTGCTAGAAAGATAGCGAGATCCCTTTCGTTGTCCTAACAACACATTTGCACAAGAACTGTAAGTGTTCAGTTGTGACCTTCAACCTGCATCAAGATGCTGGCAGTGTTGAGGTTTAAAACCTCAGTAGTCTAATACCAGCAGAGAAATCTTAACTCACCACAATTTCAACAGAATTCAGGGTTACTCAGCACTTGTAGAGGGAATCCTTAGCAGGCTGAAGAACTACATGCACCTGCTACAAAATCTGACCAAGACACTGATCAACCCCACTCGCATCGCCTTTTCCTTAAGAAGGAAAGGCAGAAGGGGAGCCTTCGACAAGCCAAGGCTTTCTATAATTAAAGAAAAAGGGAACAAAAGGTACCTCTTCTTCAAGCTTAGAATACAACAGATCCAATTCCTGCTCTAAATCTTGTGGTTGTACAGCCAAACAGAAAGCTAGCACTCTGAGGAACTCCAGCATGGCAGTTAATTAAGTAAATGTATTTGCTCTCTAACTTTCATGCTGAAAATTGTATTGTCTGCTTTACTTCCTCAGTACGCCTTTCAGATTACGCTAGTAAAAATAACAGTAAAGCAAAGAGTTGAGAATCTGAAACATCTGAGCGTTGATAACTGTCAGTCAGGTCAAGAAGTCCCCCACAGTTTTAATCAAGACAAAAGTTCCGTACTGTCTCAGAACTAGGTACTGAATGCACCCGTATGAAAAGGGAGGTTCTAGTTTTCAGAAACCACTACATGCAATAAAAACATGTTTACGCAATGTTCCATGGAGTCAGGGTTCACACAGCGAGTTGAATAATGCTGAAGATGTCATTGACAGCTACTTGTCACATCACTATAAGCACTTTCACAAACCTGTTATAGTGCCATGAAAACCCACATAAGTAATTATGGTATGCAAGTTCACAAAACAGGCATCTCAAAGAAACTGGGCTTATGAAAGTCTGATTCCCGAAGCAAAGCGCCTTTTCTTCAATTAAGAGAAAGTTAGGTCAAAGAGACTGCAAGCTAGTTGTCTAAGAAAAGCACTCCTGAATATCTGCTTTACACCTATTTCCTAGGAAAGAACACAACAGGTCTACAAATAGATTTCACTATACCTCTTAAGTCTCCTAGTATGAACTTGGAGACTATTTTAAGCAAAAACAGGCCTTCCCTTTCTCCCATAAGGTTAGTTTTATGGCTCCAAACTGATCGACTTCCTCTAATCTACTGTAATCCTCCCAAACTTGTTTAAACCAGGATCTATTGCTTTGGTTGATCTTAATTATTGAGATACCTCACAAACAAGACATCTAAAGTAAGGCTGCCCCAGATACCAGAAAGAACCCTCCAATCCCACTTATAAATTTAGGAGAAAAAGTACTCTTATTATCCTGACTGCAAACGTCTATCAACTGCTTGCAAATAATTATGTCAATACTTCCGGAGGCGTTTGAAAACGAAAGTACATGGTTCACTGGCAAAACATACAGCATGCTACTTAGATCTAGTGATCTTTGGCGTTCTTGTAGAAGCACGTGGTCCGTGAGGTACAAGGCATGCTAGTCATTATCAACATGCTCCTATTTGTAGAGCAGCTACAAATGTCAGCCGAACTATTTGAAACAGTGTAGATTCTCTGTTTTACAAACGACAGGACACAATTTATCTATGCAAACTTTATCTACACGTGGAGCTGTTTTGTTTGTTTTTACACTTTTCACGTTGTCTAACCTTCTCAAGTACAAAGCATCTCTAAAACTCATAGTTCTCAGACTAGTGGCGAGGAGCAGAAATGACATCCAGGAAAAGGGAAAGGATGTAAAAATTATCTGCTCACATTTTGATCTGGAGAAAGCTGCTGCACTGGGTTGGATGTAAAAGAAAGCAAGTCAGGAAACTATCTTCTTGGTTAGCAACCTGTATCACATGGGGCTGAGCAGCAGAAACACTGTGTCAGGGAGACATTTCTTTTTGCATCAGCAGGTAGTTGCTCCTCCTGGAGAAGTTGCACCAGGTGGACAGCAGAATCTGCTTTGTGGGGAACTCGTTCTACTAGAGGAGAACAAGGAAGAGCATGAGATTGCCACCTGCAAAGGGAGATTGTCCTCCTCTTTGGCCTGCTGACACAACATCATATAAGCAATGAGAAGTCACATCTCCCACATACACAGACCCAAAGGACAGTGACTGCAATCGTTATCCTTCTCCTACCTGTTATCTCCAAGGATTGCTGCTCTTGAGCCCTCTCGTTTCCAGGCCCTTTAAATTACACCTTGTATAAACTGTGCTGTTGAATGCCAGAGCATCTCTCGAATTATTTTATATTTCCAAACTCTAGAGGCAGGGGGATAATCTCCTCCTGGGAAAGAGAGGAATCTATCACAGGTGTCTCACTCCAACAACATTTTGATGGCTATGAAGAGCAGCCAAAGCATTCAGCCCTTCTAAGGAGACAACAACAGTTTGTGGCTCAGAAAGTACATTTTTCTATGAAGCATTGTGCTACTAATCTCAACATATTAGATTTAACACTGCACACTAAGAAGGAAACATTTTTCACTCAGAAGTTATTCATAACTCACTCTGCTATAGGCACATACATGCAGATATGCAGACTATCTAGCCAATGTGTTTGCTTCATTTGGACAAGTATTTTTCTTCTAACCTAGTACAACAGACAAGTTCCTGACTTCACCATTTCCAAGAAAGGGGAAATATATAATCTCCTAACGCCAAACTTTCCTGGTAGTTTATAATCACAGTGAGCTTCTTTTAAATAAATGCAGGACGGTTTAATACGCATCACTTAGCAAGGTACACTAATCTTTCCCACGGTGGTCTTCAGATACTGAGAGCAAGTGTGACACTTAGCATATTGAAAGACAATTTTCAGAGGCAATTCCAAGAAATGCTCCCACGGCAGAAGCCCAGCTGAAGGACTCGAGGACACAAGCAGATCCTTTTGGCTTTCCCTCACATTGCCCACTTCATCCCCACCCAGCCACCACCTGAGGGAAGGAACCTCGCAGCCAGGAGGGCTTCCTGCATCAAGCGCAGTCTTACGGGAGAGGAAGAGCAGTAGCTATCAGCGCCAGCAAGTCATACAGTAATTGTAAGTCTGGTTTATTGTGGTCGCCTCCTTCGAATCGCCCCCCAACGCCGTCGGAAGGCCCCCGTTGAACAGACTAAGCCAGCCGCAACTTCTGTTGCGGTT